ATGTGGCACCCATTTTCCTTCCTTTAAAATCTTTCCCATTGCTTGTAAACGATCAGAAATTGTTTGCTGAGCAACGTTTAATCTTTCTGCAAGTTGTTTTTGAGTATGACACACATCTTCATCCAATAATGCTTGTATAATTGTTGGTCTTCAAAGTTTTTTGGTTGACCTGGACAATCTTTGTCTATCACATAGAAATCATCACTTTTAAAGCATTTAAACCAGCATTCACAAGTATCTTGAGATGGAGCATGTTCACCATAAGCTTCTTGAAGCATATAACTTTCAGCAGCACTTTTCTTCAAAATAATGAATTAAAACTTCCTGCAAATGCTCTATTTTTGGCACGAAATTTGACATTTTTAAGTGTAAAAATATCTACGATGTTAACATCTTCAGAAAATTTGACATATGAAGTTTTGAAGCTTGCTGTCAATACAACAAAATAGCATGCATATCAAATTGCATATATATCAACATATGTGTAACTCAATCTATTGGAAAAAATCCGCATTAACTAGTACACCTGGTATTTGAAACAGGATTAATATTAAGGATGTACAAAGAACACCTATATCTCAACAACAAATAAACAGCTCAATTTAAAGAAATGGACAAAGGACTTAAGAGACATTTTTCCAAAGAAGATATACTAGTACAAATGGCCAATAAGCACATGAAAAGATGCTTGACATCACTAATCATCAAGGAAATGAAAATTAAAACCATAAGACATGGCCTCACACCAGTTGGGATGGCCACTACCAACCCTGCACCCTCGCCCCCCAGCCCCCTGGCCCCAAAACAAAACAGCAGCAAAAGCAGAAAACAACAAATGTTGGCAGAGATATGCAGGAACTGGAACCTACTGCATTATTAATGGGCATGTAAAATGGTGTAGCTTTTGTAAAAACAATATGGCAGTTCCTGAAAAAAATTAAACAGGGTTACATGTGATCTAGCAATTCCTAGTATATACCCAAAAGAATTGAAATTGGGGACTCAGATACTTGTACAACAATGTTCATAACAGCATTATTCACAATAGCCAAAGATGAATACAACCCAAATGTCCATGAAGAGATGAATGGATAAACTATGTGTGGTGTATACATACAATGGAATATTATTCTGTCTTAAAAAGTAAGGAAGTTCTGACATGAATATACCTTGAAAATATGCTAAGTGAAATAAGCTGGACACAAAAGAACAAATATTGTATGATTCTATTTATATGAGTTACCTAGAGCAGTTAAATTCACAAAGACAGAAAGTAGGAAAGGGTTAACTAGAATTTGGGGAGTGGGGGGCATTAATGTTTAATGGTTACACAATTTCTGTTTGAAAAGATAAAAAATTCTGGAAATAGTGGTGATGCTTACACATTGTGAATGTACTTAGTGTCACTTAATGGTACACTTAAAATGGTTAGAATGGTAAATTTTATGTTATGTGTATTTCCCACAAATAAAATCGTTTGATAATGCCAGCCATAGTTAAGAACTTGGCAGTGAGGTCATACTTATCTGAAACTTGGATCTGCTACTTTGCAGCTGAGTGACTTTGGGAAAAATACTTAACCTCTGAAGAGCTTTAGTTTCCCCTTTAGTAAAATAAGGATATCACTACCTCATAGAGGTTGTTGTCAAGATTAACATTTAAAACAAGTAAAATGCCCAGCACAGGGCCTATCGCACTATCAACTTGACAATCATGGTTTGTTACTTTAGCAGCTCTGAAGATTAAACAAAAGGTAGTAGGTTATCATAAAAAATAAATAAGTGAAAAGAAGTGGAAAAGCTTTAAAATACAGGCACAGGTACCAGGTAACAAGGGAATTTTTAAAAAGGGAGGGGGAGCCTTGGCTTTTCAACAGTTCATGAAAACTTGAATATAGAGAATTTCATTTACTCAAACTTGAAAGGCGTGATATAAATGCTGAGAAAAGAAAATGCAATCTTAGATCCCCAGTGACAGTCTAGTACACCTATTATTGTGTTTATTTTAAGAACACTTTTTCAGACATATGGATAAACAAAAGTGCTTCTAGAGGTGGGTTTCCAAGAATGATGAAGGATGGATTACATATAATGGAGACATAAACAACTATTCAAGTTACTCAACAATGGAACAGGCTTCAAGTACTAAAGCACAGATTTTACAGGAGCAATTATTACACTGAAAGGGAAGCGGAGTGCTAGGAACAGTGACTTTGAAGGTACTTTGCTGTAAGATTCTATGATTCTAAATTTAAATGTTTAAACTTGGGCTTTTTGGAAAGACAATGCTACTCCATAAAGAAAAATGCAATATGGAATGCTGTTCTGGGAAATTCTCTTTGGATAATTAAAGTAGTAACTTTTGAGCAAAAGCAATAAGACCATTTCCGAAGTGTGTACTTCTAATGTGCAAATACACTTCAGGCAAAAAGGAAAAAAACACACACTTAAAACCAACAAGCACAAATAAAACAACTTTAATAGATATTATTTTGTATAGCGTCTTCTTCAAGAACCTTAGATGCTTTACAGACATTTTATCTAATTAATCCCCACAACAACCCTGTGAGGTAGGTATTACTCCCATTTTACAAGATAGGGAGACTGAAGCACAGAGAGGTTAAGTGACTTGCCCAAGGTCACACAGTTAAATTCACTGAAGAGCCAGGACCTGAGCGCCTTAGCCTCCCAGCTCCCAGTTAAATACCTCATGAGAGAATCTTTAATGAAAAGTATCTTTAAAGAAAGTATCAAGAGAAGTATGTTATGAAAATGAGATCTTTCTACTGCCATCAAGGAAAGAAAAACCCTATACTGATGGTTAGAGACAACAAGATCCATATATTACACATTTTCTTTTCCTTCTGGAAGTTGCATGGCTCCTGTCTTAAGTAATCTTCTAAAGATAAAGTTGCCAAGACAGAAGCCATATGACTTCGAAGTGAGACTTAATTTAGAATATTTTCTTTTAGTTATTATAATTTATAGAAATTTTATTCCAATATACAAAATATGGAACAGAACAGCCATTCCCAACAATCATGTACATAGACAGCAATCAGCCATCATTTACAACTGAAGCCTACCCTTCATTTCAACCACAGTCAACCAACAGACAACCTCACAACGCTGTCTATATGGGTCACTTTTCTTACTATATCTGCATTTCCCCCCCAAACCTAACCCTATATGTTTTTAAAGTATGTTGAGTTTCTGATAAGCTTGCAAACATTCTACTTAGATGCAGCTGCACTAAGAGTAAAAAGTAAATTGAGAACCATCATCCCACAGTCCCTACCCTGACAAATCATACCAGTACTATTAAATGCAGTATAGATGTGAACAGTGTATGACTACCATGGAACTCAACAAGAATGCTATCATTTGCTTTAATATGAAATTTAACCTTAGCTTTTACTGTTTTTAAAATGCACAATGTGAAAACAAAGTATTTCAACGCTGTACCTTTATGCAAATGACTTCATCTATCTTTCTTATACATGCCGTGGCCTGACTCACATAAAAACTGACTCAGCTTCACTTTACTCACCTTCTCTGTGCTGAAAACCACAGAAACACCACTTTAAAATCCAAGACAATTTGGTTTAAGCCCTCAAAATAAAAAATGTATCCAGTTCCACTGCTATGGCCTTCTCCACATTCTCGGTTGTGATTCTCTGTGCAATGCTGGTAAATCAGCCAGGCTATGTGATTTGTACAGAACAATTCCAGCCAAGATTAGGCTTCAGAAACTATACCTTAAAAAGTAATTTATCAAAATACCTCATAATTTTCTCCCAGCACATCTGTTAAACAACCCAATTAACTAAGTGACCCTGTTAAAGATATGTTCATGGAATGAATAGGTGAAGTCATTTCCTGAGCTAAAAGATACAGATAATAAATGTTAATAATAGCAGCAGACAAAAGGATTCTTTTTTGTTTTTCGTATTCAATAGTATTAATAAAATAAGTTTAGAAAATTACAGCAATTAAAAAAATTACTGCCTGAAAAGACTCTGATAAATAATAGCCAAGGCTTGATTGCTATTATTTTGAATATAAATTCAAATACTTCCCACAAGTGACATTTGGCCATTGTCAGAGAACTTACTGATGCATGAAAAAGTGTCAATTGCAAAAATTTACTTATTTTAATTACATACATTACTTCTTAAAACTCCTAACAGAAGGGAGTCTTAACAAAGTTAATTTCCAAACACTCTCCCAGTAAGATTTGTAAAGGTGGATGGAGAAAAGGACATGTTTGTGTATTCCTGGTCGACTTAATTAAAAGTTAATTTTCAAAGGTTTTTTCCGCTAGCTACTGGGGTTATGATGAATGATTCCTTCTTTCCAAGGTAAAGAATGACTCTGGAAAATAATATAACTGCTATGACATGAATCTTCCAAACATGGCCTTAATTGGAAACATTAGAGTATTTACGAATTCTAAAGACTGGTATACCATCACTGCACCAGAATGTCTTTTATCATCCCAACAACTATAGGGAATTTTTTATAGTTTCTTATTTTACTGAAATTAAAGCTGAATAAAATAACTGACTTATAAACTATAACAAAAGAAAAATATTTAGCCAGAGATATCAGTTCCTCCTGAAAAAGAATATTTACCTCATCTCATTGCAATTTTTCTTACGGTATCTTACTAATTTAAATAGAGTTTAAAATTCACCTTAAAAACAGAAACAAGCAAAAGGACAAGTTAAACTGACAAAAGCTAATAAAAATTAAAAATATGCTCAAATTTACTGACAGAATCATGGGCACTTCATACAATACTTAGACTCTAGCAATTTTAAGTAAAATAAATAAGGAAAAAAATTATATTACAAAGCCAGTCTTTCCCCTTGGGGAAACAAAAAGCCACTTTTGACCAATTGTTCCCTACATATACATATACTGTATATTATTAAAAGCTTCTTTAGAGAAGCAAAACATATTTGTCTTCCTGACACTGGATTCTAAAACCTGTTAGTTTTTTATATCAGGAAGGCAACTGCAAGTGTTGGGCCCAAAAGTATTTCTGGTTTACGGTTGAAAAGACTACCAAGTATCCTTTCTGTACACATTCAACACAGGCAAATTTAAACAGTGTGTTCTCTATCATCTCCTTAAATTATCTACATAACCTGGCACAGATTACTATTCTTTCTACTGCACCCCCAAAGAGTTAAAATCATTACTGATGCAATTAATAAAGAGAATGTTTGTGTGTGTCAATTACCAGAAGGCTGCTTTACAGGAGGAGCTGCTATCTCTGATGTCACTTCCTTGTTGAATGGAACTGCACAGACAGCATGATACCTGAGCAAATAAATCAACTACCATAATAGGAAGAGCTTGTTAATCCATAGTCTTTGCTTTATTGTGTGCAAAGTGTGCCACTGCCCCCTGAGCTTCCTGCATTTCTCTTTTCTTGAAAAATTAGTGCTTGATCCTTTCCATAATAACCAAAGAAGAAATGAGGCAGAAGTCTCTTCATCGCAGTTCCCCTCAGTCTCGAGACTGATAGAAAAGGATGTAACCAGACTCAGAGTTCTTTGAGATATCTGATGTCAACCCGTAGAATTCTTCAATAGCTTGTGCATCTATTTTCTGTGAGGCAAAATGTGAACATTAGTACTTAAACAAGCTCCTCAAACTGCTTTAATCCAGTAAAACCTTTCACATTTCTTTGAAACATACCTTTCATTTTCTCATTTGTAAAATAGCTCTGCACAACCAGAACAGCGTAAATTTAAAAGACTGATAATATCAAGTGTTGGTGAAAATATGGAGCAACTACAAGTTTCATACATAGCTGGGGGAAATATAAAAGTGTACAGATGCATTGGAAAAATGTTTAGCATCATCTTCTAAAGCTGAACATTCAACTACCCTTTAATCCATCAATTCTATTTGTAGATATGGGCCTGAACTATATGAAACAACTAACAGTTGTTGCTTAAGATTTGTGCGCTTTGCCATAGGTATATTATAGCTTAATACAGTTCTTTTTAAAAAATATATTTTTATTGATTTTAGAGAGGGAGAGAGAAACATCAATGATGAGAATGAGCAACTGACTGCCCCCTGCACGCTCCCTGAAACCCAGGCATGTACCCAAACCAGGAATCAAACCATGACCTCCTTGTTCATGGGTTGTTGCTCAACCACTGAGCAACACCAGCCGGCAAGATACATTTCTTCTTTAAATGAAAGTTTTTTTAAAAACTAGTTCGGTCATTGAAAGCTCTCCCTTGTCATATTCTAAACACCATAATGGTTAGCAGACAATTCAAGCACTGGGACTGGATGTTAGGGAGTACATAGCAGAAATTAGATTACAATCTGAAGACCTAGATATTTGTCTAATACTCAACCTGTCATATATGAATGAGAAGCTGGGAGAAAAAAGTGAAGAGTAAAACACATAACACTTTGGAGAAAAATAAAAAATTAAGAAATTACTTACTTCTACAATATCGTCATCAAACAACAACCAAAAGTCATGACTCTTAACTATTGCGATGTAATGGCCTCTATTAGGACCACTGAAACAAAGAGAAAGAAAAATTAACTTTATAAAATGTTTATTATTACTCTTCTATTCCTTGAATTTCATTTTCTATAGAGTAGAAAACCCAAAACTGAAAAAACTACTCCTTACCTATCTATCCCTCCACCAAATCAAGCTATATTGATTTGAACTGGCATTCAATTTTAAAATCAAATTAGTACTCTACTTTGAGAGGTACAACCAGTATTCCATTTATATAAAGCTATGTTATTAAAATTCTTTCTTATCTTTGTAATAGTTGTAATTATTTCTAAAAATTTTTTTTCAAATTTGCTTCTATGAAAGATTTAAAGAAAATTTTCTAGTATTTTTAGTGGGAGAAAGGGGGAGTCACATGCAATATATACTGAGTTAAACTACAAAACAATGCATGCTGAATTATTTCTAAATCTTACTCCAGTGGCAACAGTTTTTCTCTAGATCCTATTCATGATGATTGAAAAGGCAAAAAGCTATATCAAATTCATGGTTCTGAAATCAAGCTCAAACTTCATAAACTTCTTTAAAAACAAGTGACATTTGCCCAGTGATCAGTATCATTAGTGCTATTTTTAAGTTATAATTATTATAATTGCCTTTGTGTCTCATTTTAAACAAATATGGAATATAGAAATCTATATATATGTAAAAATAAAGATTTCTTTTAAAAGAAAATTCTTTGCTTTATATGCTCAAGATTTTAACCTCTTAGTTTAAATATAACTCATTATAAAACTATATTTTTTATTAAATTATAAATCTATAATTGATATAGCATTTGAAATAATTTTCAATACAAATTATTCTTTATGATGAATACTATTTTAAAAAAGCAGCAAGCTCAGACATTAGAATAAGTGACCTACTACATTTCCCACGTGTTGGATCCTTAGTCGTATAGATGAGATGATTATCTTAGGTGACAAAATGGCACAAACAAGAGGACTTTTTCACTGCAGAGGAAAATACCTCAAAACGGGTGTGGGTTTTTTTTTATGCTTCTAATGCTAAAATAAGTCTAATTTCTCCATTTCTATAGGATTCATCTAAAAAGTCATTTTATAGTGAGAAGTAAGAAATGGGGGGTAAAAACATTTCAAGGGGGTGAAAATAAAAATAAAAAAATCAGAAAGGTGGAGCAACAGAGCCTGAGAGGGAAGGCATAGGTGGACTGAGGACAGGTAGGCATCAGACTGAAAAGGTTAGACAGCTTTTTCCTTTGGCTAAGAGCTAGTTTGAAGAATGGTAGGCAAAAGTTAATTACAGAAACTAATAAGATGAAGGACTGAGGGTAAGAAATTGATGCCTAAGGAAGTGGTTAATCAGTGATTTACATTTTGAACATAAAACATGTTCAGTTCAATATGCACAGATGCCTGATACGTACCAATGACTATGCTATTTCTGTGGGGGTTAAAGACAGCAACAATGTCCTGCCCTGAAGACATTGCCAGTTCACTAGGAAACTACTCCAGAGGCATATACAGAAGAGGATATAAAAGCAGAGCAACAGGGACAGTGAACTAAAACCTCATCCAGTGAGAGAGGAAGGGAATGGGCTGAGGAATCAAGAAAGGTTAGTTATACAAAGGAGTTGGGGTTTGAGATGGGCTTAAAGATCAGCAAATATTTGTTGGAAACCTATGATATGCCAGTCATTAGGGATAGAGAGCGAGCAAACTGACTGGCACAGACATGCTGAAAATGAGATCCTCCAATAATCAAAGGTTGCAGACAAAGGCAAACCCTTTATACTGATATGAAATGTATCTACAGATAAGTATCATAAATAAAAAAGAAAAAACTTAAAAACATGTTTAGTGTTTTGTTTAATGAACGAATTATTTCCCGTTTTTAAAAGTGCGTATTCTTGCCCAGCCAGTTGCTCAGTGGTTAGAGTGTTGGCACGTGGACTGTAGGGTTGTGCATTCAATTCCTGGTCAAGGGCATGTGCCTCAGTTGCAAGCTCCATCCCGGGCCGGGTTGGGGCATGTGTGGAAGGCAACCAATCGATATGTCTCTCTCATATCGATGTCTCTCTCCCCGCCCCTCCTTCCCCTCTGCTCTCTCTTAAGAAAAAAAAATCAATAGAAAAAATATCCTCTAGTGAGGATTACATACATAAATAAGTACGTAAATAAATAAATAGTGCCCATTCTCATAAGGAAAAACAGATGTATAAGTGGATAAACATAATACACTACAAAGCAGTAAGTCATGACCAGCAACACACACCTAGTAGTTACAGAACAGAGGCGCAGCACCAAATGGAGACTGAGGCTGTAGAGAAGAGCACCGAGGAAGACACACAGAGGTTTAACAGGCAGAGCAGGGGGACAGGAAGAAGGCATGAGGAGAGCACAGTGAAAGAAAAGGAAGAATAAGAGACTAATATGGGGAGGGGTGTGAAACAGCTTCTGTGAGGAACTCAAGCAGGCATGAGTCCCACTGCAGTCAACTGGCCCATGAGGAGTCAATGAGCATCCCTCAACTGTCTACAGCATTCTGACAGCTAAGTTTGGAGACATGAACAGGCAGCAGGAGAATGTCACAGTGTTTGCGACAATATGCTTTAACTAGAGACCCAGTACACAAAATTTGTGCACTGGTGAGGTCCCTAGCAGCTGCTGGCCGGGTACTTCCTCCCTCCCTCTGGCCGGCCCAGCTCCCTGGTTGAACTCCCAGATGAATTCCTGGTTGAGGGGACAATTTGCATACTACGCTTTTATTATAAAGGATAACTGACTGGTAGTAAGGCTGGGAGGAGAAGCAGATGTGGCCAAGGAAAGGGTTAAAAAGAAAGATCAAGAGATAAGAGGCTGTAAGGGGAAAAGGGTGGATTAAATTTTAGACAACAGTGAGGGGAGGGAGCCCAGGGCTGTGATAAGGAATCTCAGAGTTCAAGATCTTGCCAGTAGAGCAATTCCATAAGATGGAGCAGAATTTAAATGGGGTAAAACTGTCACTGAATATAAAAAAATATCAAATGGTACAGTACGGTGTGAAAAGCTAATATTGTTATTGTTGTTGTTGTTAAAACAGTAGCAGCAGCTAAGTTATTTACATTTCCCTTTTAATCCTGATAATGCAGTAAGACAGTTGATATTATTTACCTTTTATAGAAGAGAAAACGGACATTTGGCAAGTTCTGTATGGTCACAAGGACCAGAAATGACAAAAGGAGAACTGAACCCAAGGTTTCTTTGCCTCTAAAGCCTCTGGACTGAATAACTACAGGTTCTTTATTTCTTATTGTTTTCCTCCATTCAGATGTCATCACTCTTTAGAAATGGAATGCTCCAAAAATGGAAAGATAATAGCAAAGTATACAATACAGGGAGGCAGGCTAATGAAGACAATGGAGGTTGAAGACTGTTATGACAGAGCTGACTTCCAGTTGTCATTACATATTCTGAGCAGAGAGCGGGAAGGGCACAGCTAAAGCTGGGGAGGCAGGGGCATTCTTAGTTGGATAAAACATACTATTAGTATAATTTTCCCCAAACCTGGGAGAAAAAGATGAGTGTCTTATTTTATAATTATTACAGGAAATTCTCAACAGTCAATGAAAACTGTATGTTTCAAGTATAAATTCTAATCGCATGATGCTCTTATAGTTTATGATTTTTTTTACCTATTTTATAAATTAAGATACAAAGTGAGAAATCACACTAAATTGGCTAATGGGAAGTAAACACACTGAGGTAAAAAGCAGAAAACTTATCTTTCCAGATTATTTCCAAAGCCATTTTAAATGGTTTTCATGACCATTAATATAATGAACATATCCAATGAATCTAAGAAATAATTTATTTTGCAAATCTATTTAGGCACCATCATTTAAAAATAAATAAATGGAAAATAAAATAGACCTTAATGTTCTTAGAATAATATTTAAATAACTAGAGGCCCGATGCACGGAATTTGTGCAAGGGGCTCAGCCCTCACAGCTGCAGTGGCTTGCCTTGGCCCTAACAACGCCGGCTTTGTCTGGAAGGTAGTCTGGAAGGACATTTGGCTGTCCAGTCTAATTAGCATATTATGCTTTTATTATTATAAACTAGAGGCCTGCGGTACAAAAATTTGTGCACTCGGGGGGGTTCCTCAGCCCGGCCTGTGCCCTCTCACAGTCTGGGACCCCTTGGGGGATGTCCACCTGCTGGTTTAGGCCCGCTCCCAGGGGGAATTGGGCCTAAGCTGGCAGTCAAACATCCCTCTGGCAGCACGGGAGCCCTCGGGGGATGTCCACTTGCCAGCGGGGAGCAGGCCTAAGTTGCAATCGGACATCCTTAGCACTGCTGCGGAGGTGGGAGAGGCTCCCACCACCACCGCTGTACTGGGAGCCATCAGCCTGGCTTGTGGCTGAGCAGAGCTCCCCCTGTGGGAGCGCACTGACCACCAGGGGGCAACTCCTGCATTGAGTATCTGCCCCCTGGTGGTCAGTGTGTGTCATAGTGACCAGTCATTCTCAGTCGTTCTGCTGTTAGGGTCAATTTTCATATTACCTTTTTATTATAAAGGATAGAGGTCTGGTGCATGGGTGGGGGCCGGCTAGTTTGCCCTGAAGGGTGTCCCGGATCACGATGGGGGTCCTGCTGGGGTGCCTGGCCAGTCTGGGTGAGGGGCTGCTGGCTGTTTGCAGGCTGGCCGCAGTCCCCAGCCACCCAAACTCCCAGTGGAGGTTGGCTGGAAGCAGGTATCTGGGATTTATTTATCTTCTACAGCTGAAACTTTGTTGCTTTGAGCGGAGGCCACAGCCAGCCAGGGCAGGCGGGAAGCTTGGCTTCCTCCATCGCCAGGGCAACCAAGCCTCCTGCTTGCTCCAGCTCCGTAGCTGCCGGCTGCCATCTTGGTTGGGTTAATTTGCATATAGTCACTGACTGGTGGTGGGTGTGGCTTGGGGCATAGCAGAGGGGTGGTCAATTTGCATGTTTCTCTTTTATTAGATTAGATAAGAAAAAAAATTCAAATCCAGAGAGGGAAGAGGGTGGAGGGGAATAAAGAGGGCAAAGGGAATCAAATTTATAGAGACAGAAGGAGACATGACTTTGGGTGGTGAGCACACAACAAAGCATACAGATAATGTACTATAGATATTTATAAATATTTTCATTTATAAAAGTTTTAAGGAGGAAATGATAAAATGTATCTGGATGAGAACCTCTGAAAGGTCTATCCTGGAATCCCTCAAGAATACCCTGAATGCTGACTGTTCACCGACCCATCCTCCCACTGCCAGGCCCCACAACCGCAATTACCTTCCACAGTGAACCACAACAGCAACAAGGTCATACATTCTGTCAGGATTGGTTGCATCGCCTGAAGTGTTAAAAAGACGAAGTTCTAAAGGAAAAACTACCCGGTAAGAAAGTTTTGTATATCGATGAAGTTGATCCATATATTTAAATCTCTTCAGGTGTAGAGCTAGAATCATGGGCAGCTTTTTAACTTTCATCCTATTAAAATAAACATGAAAACAAAATTTCATAAAAGATGGACACTATATCCTTAAAAGAATGAGCAAATTTTATGATTCAATTAGCAAACGGTTAATGGTCAGTTTTAATAGTCCAGCACTGCCCACTTTGAATATTTCTGGCAATTATTTGTATATTGAGAAAGCAATAGTCTGAACATCTTAAACCAACTCCAGCCCACCCTATCCATCATCAGCAAACCACATAAATTGACTGAGCACTCAACATGGCTTCAAAGCACATGGAATGGCTATGGTCTTCGTTAAGAAATCTATTTCTGAAATATGATATGGCTAAATGCACATGGTACCTATGACTAGTGGAGGGAAAACCAGTTCTTTAAAGCCATCAATTCTGCTGGATGTGAGTGGAGACTAAAATCATTGGTTTAATCAATCTATATAATTAATAACAGATTGAGAGTTTCTGGTAAAGATGGTGGAGTAGGTAAATGCGGTAATCACATCCTCCCACAACCATGTCAAAATTACCACTAAACTATAGAACAGTGGTTCTCAACCCTTGGCTGCACATTAGAATCACCTAGGAATCTTTTTAAAATCCTGATTTCTGGTCCACCTCAAAAAAAAAAAAATCCTGATTTCTGGGTAGAATTTCCGGAGGATGAGGCCCAGAAATCAGGATTTTAAAAAGATTCCCAGGTGATTCTAATGTGCAGCCAAGGTTGAGAACCACTGCTATAGAACAACTATCATTCAGAACCACCTGAAACTGGTTGGTTGAATGGAAGTCATACAACTAAGGATATAAAGCCGTGGTTGGCAAACAGCGGTTCGCAAGCCACATGCGGCTCTTTGGCCCCTTGAGTGTGGCTCTTCCACAAAATACCATGTATGGGCGCGCACGTACATTGCAATTTAAACTTCATGGCTCATGGGCAGAAGTTGGTATTTTGTGGAAGAGCCGGTATTTTGTGGAAGAGCCAAACTCAAGGGGCCAAAGAGCCGCATGTTGCTCGCGAGCCACGGTTTGCTGAGCCACAGTTTGCCAACCACTGATATAAAGAAGCTACATCAAGACTGGTAAAAGGGGTGGAGACACAAAACCAGCTGGTCCTACACCCATGTATGGTGGATAAAAATCAGGAGGGGTATCTCAACTACAGAGGTCCCCCCTGAAGAGCGAGAGGTCCCCGGTCCCCAACAGGCCTCCTAGCCCAGGCTTCCAGTGCTAGGAAGTGAAGTCCCCATAACTTTGGCTGTAAAAACCAGCAGGGATTGTGGCTGAGTGAGACAGAGGGTTGCTGAAATCCCAGACAGTTCCTCTTAAAGGGACTGCTCACAGACTTACTCCATCTGAGCTCCAGCACTAGGGCAGCAGCTCAAAAGGCACCAGGGATATATGGGGAGGAAATGAATTGTTAGGCATCAAAGCAAGAGCTGGGGGGTAGAGGCAGCTTTCTCCCAGACAGAAATGCTGGCAAAGGCCATTGTTCCTGTGCTGAAAGATGGGCTCCACATCTGAGATTCCATCAACCTGGCTCATACTATTCACCCTGCTCTGGTGATTCCCTGAGACCCCACCCAACTTGCAGACCCACCCAAGACTTCCATTCTACTTCCATATGAATGGCCTTTCTTGGCTCATGCTTCTGACTTTTCTAAAACCTCTCAAATAAGCAGCATCTGGCCACCATGTACCTATACCTCTTGCTAAATGTCCCCAGGTCTGACACTAGCAGCAACCAGACTTGGTTCCCAATTTGGCCTCTCCTGGGCACCTCCAAGCCCAGCACAAGTAGCAGCCATCTGCAGATTGCTTTGTAGCTCATGCCGGGTGGCCCCAGGCAGAACAAAAGTGGTAGTTGACCTCGGTCTGCAGCTCCAGGAAGCCCCAGAGTTAGTGCACCCAGTGGACAACTTCAGACCACATCAAAGCAAAACCCAACAACCTTCACAAGTGACACACTGAAGATGAGAACTCATTGGGCACCAGGGCCCTGCTGAAGTAAGTCTTGCTCCATGAGGTGGTCCCTACACAGTGGTCATAGGCAGTCCTTGTAGCTGATCAGCTTGGGGGTAAATCCCTCCCACTTAAGTACCAAAAGCAATTAAGGCTCAACTACAATAGGAAGCTGTACAAAGAGCCCACATAGTGGTGGTGGTGGGGCACACCTGGAGTGCCCAGCTCAGGTAAACTGAGAGGCTGTGCCACTGAACCCTAAAGGATACCTACTACATTAGGCCACTCTACCAAGCACAGGAGACAGCAGCTCTACCTAATACATAGACGCAAACACAGGGAGGCTGCCAAAATGAAGAGATAAAGAAATATGTCCCAAATGAAAGAACAGAACAAAAACCCAGAAAAAGAACTATACAAAGTAGAGGCAAGCAATCTACTAGATGCAGAATTTAAAGCACAGGTTATAAAAATGCTCAATGAAGTTAGTGAGAACTTCAACAGCATAAAAAAGAACATGGAAACCATAAAAAAAGAGCCAGTTAGAATGAAGGATACACTAACAGAAATGAAGAATAATTTAGAGGGAATCAACAATAGTGTTGATGAAGCTGAGAATCAAATCAGTAATTTGGAAAATAAGGAAGGAAAAAACACCCAATCAGAACAGCAAAAATAATCCAAAAAATGAGGATAGTGTAAAGAGCATCAAGAGTACCAACTTTTGCATCATGGGGGTGCCATGAAGGGAAAAGACAGAGCAAGGAATTGAAAACCTTTTTGAAAACATAAAGATAGACAGTCCCAAATAAAATGAACCCAAGAGGCCCACACCAAAACACATCATAATTAAAATGCCAAGGGTTAAAGACTAAGAGTCTTAAAAGCAGCAAGAGAAAAGCAGTTAGTTACCTACAAGGGAGCTCCCATAAGACCATCAGTTGATTTCTCAACAGAAACTTTGCAGGCCAGATGGAGTTGGTAAGAAATATTCAAAGTGACAAAAAGCAAGGAACTATAACCAAAATTAGTCTACTTAGCAAAGCTATCATTTAGAATCAAAGGATATATAAAGAGCTTCCCAAACAAAAAAAGCTAAAGGAGATTGTTACCACCAAACCAGTATTACATGAAATGTTATAGGGTCTTCTTTAAAAAGAAGGAAAAGATAAAAATATGAATAATAAAATGGCAACGAACACATATTTATCAACAATGGAATCTATAAAACAAATTAACAAACAGAACAGAAACAGACTCATAGATACAAAGAACCATTTGACCACTGCCAAATGGGAGAAGATTGAGGGAATGGGTGAAAAAGGTGAAGGGATTAAGAACTATAAATTGGTAGTTACAGAATAGTCATGTAAATAGGAGATGTAAAGTACAGCATAGGTAATATAGTCAATAATATTCTAATAACTATGTATGGTACTAGATGGGCACAAGATTTATCAGGATGACCATTTATTAAATTACATGTCTAATCACTTGGTTGTACAACTGAAACTAATATAATATTGTATGTCAACTGTAATTGAAAAATAAAAAATGATTTAAAAAACTAAGATTTTGAATAGGAGACAATGAGAAAAGCATTAAAGATCATTCTATTAAAGGTGTTTGCAAGAAAGAAGAAATCACTCCATATTAAGAATAAGGCTACATGTATCCGAGAAAGAGAATAATCAGGAAACTTTAGAAATTGTTTTTAATTGGGAAACATAGGTTATCCTTCACATTCTAAATAATCTTTTTATTATGCCCTGGGTTACCTTTGAAACCCTACTTCACCTAACAACAGTCCACCCTTTCAAAGGCTCATCTCAAAAGTTACACCCACTGGCACAAATAAGTGCTCTCTTCAATCTTCCACCAACACTTTACAGATTCACTTTATATACCAGTATGTACTAGAGGCCCGGTGCATGAATTCATACACAGATGGAGTCCTTCGGCCTGGCCAGCAATTGGGGCCGATCAGGGCTGTTGGCCAGGGAGAGAGACTGCAAGGAGTTGGTTGTGGGAACGCACTGACCACCCGGCCAGCTGGCCACAGGAGGTTGGCTATGGGAGTGCACTGACACTAGGGGGTGTGTGTTGAGTGTCTGCCCCCTGGTGGTCAGTGTGCATCATAGCAACCGGTCATTGGGTTGACCGGTAGTAACAGTCACGTAGGCTTTTATATATAGAGATAGTTTATTACACTATAAAATATTTAGATTATTCTTCTAGTGTCTGAACTGTTGGCAGGTTGAAACAATTTCTTTCATTTTATTTCTCCTCTATTTAGCAACATGTCCGGCACATGATAGATATTTGACAAACGTTGCAGAACTAAATTCTATATAATTGCAGTGAAGCAAAACATCTCGCCCCAACGTCTTGCCTCACTTTTCATGATTAAAAATGAAATTTACTAAGCCATGATTTCTAATGAAATTTAAAAAAAATCACTTTACAAAATTATACTAAATCTGCATTCTACATATCTTAAATGTGGTGGGCAGCTTATTATTCTGAAAATATTTACTATTCTACTAATCTGGCCTTTGAAAAACATTAGAAAAAACAAATGTAAACAGTTAATCATTCCTGGAAAGTAATCTACCACTATGAATTAAAAGACTTTAGGGCATTTGTCTTAATAATCCCATTGCTAGGAATTAAATATATCACAAATAGAAGACTTCTGAGAAATATTCACTTCTGGAGTTATCATGAAAAACAGGGGGCGAGATTTAAAATGGCAGCAGAGTAAGTGGATGCTACACTGACACACTCCCAGGACCAAACTGAAATTACAGGTAAAATACAAAAATTCCATTCTGAATAACCAACTGAAGATTTGCTGGAGAGAACCCTGATAACCAAGGATGGAAAATGAAGACCTAGAGACTGAAGGAAGGGCAGAGAGGCCTAAGGGCTGGCCAGGATCCCACAGACAGCAGCTGAAGTTCTGGAGAGAGAGCTCAGCTGTGGGAGGTTGCCACTGACAACTCTAAACCCCAAGCTAGGCCCTCCAACAGAGAGCACCAGACCTGAAAGAGGTG